ATGGGAGGGGGAGTGAGTGAGCGGCTGCGTGGTGCTTAGTTGCTGGCTGGGGTTAAACCACGACACAGGTGGAAGAGCTTTCAATCAGAAAGGTAAGAAAGATTCCACAGTGTGTCCAAAATCTCTCTAGAGGTGAAAAGCAAACCAGGTATTAGAAAAACAAATCAGGTACTTTGCCTCCCTATTTATGGTGCTAAACAATAAACCAAACTGTGCCCATTCAAACTTAAAAATAAAAGGCTTTAATTAAAAAGGAATTATCAACTTTATAGTAGATTCTCCCTAATTTACATTTTATTTAATCAAGACAATCTCTTGAGTCCAAAAATCAGCAATCTTGTTTACTGTCTCAAGACAAATACAGGTGTTGAATGTGTTACTGTGGTTGCCTTCTACCAGGATATTATCTTGTTAAATACGCAGCTGCATAGCTAATAAATGCATGATAAATTTATTATTATTCAAAAGCTTGATTATAGCTGTGAAAAGGAGTTTCTGAGCTCCTGATTTCCGGATAGGGCAGCAGTTCACCACAGACACACCAGCTTAGAATTTTTAATGTCTGCTCCTTCTTAAGTCATGAGGAATTAAAACTTGAGTTTTGTTACCAAGGTTAAAAGAAAGGTAATGAATCGTGTGAGAGCAACAAATGTTGTTGGAAACTTGTAAGTGATTTTAAAGAATTGGTCAACGCTGATGATGTCTGCCATACAGCTTCTCAGGCGGGGGGGGCAAATTGTGTAGTGCAACTGGAAAAAGTTATCCTACTGCTGAAGCTTGCAAATTAGTTCAATATGGAAAAATATTCTAGTGGAGGAGTAAGTGTGTGGAAACTACAGAAACAACAGATAGCAGGTAACTAAATCCTATATCAATTTTGACATATCGGTAAATGACTTTGCAATGTATACCACAAAGAAACTTGTTAGTTTGTAAATTAGGACAACACTTTGCAGAGATGCTGTTCGGGGGGGGTGGGGTGGGGAAGTCATGCTTCCATTTTTATGTTTCCATACTGTGTTACTGAGTATGGTGAGTGCTCTTCTATGAAGATGTTGGACACATTGATCAGGTGTGTTTTGACATGCTGTGGGAACAGCATGGCATAAGAAATCAGTTATCTCTGGTCGTAGATTGGTATGAAGTGCACAGAAGCACAACTCCTCTTCTCTGCCTTTCCACCTTAAAATTTGCACATTCCCAAATGTCTTACCCCAAAATAATTTGGAGACAAATATGTTGGAGACATATTGTTCTAAAACTTTATGCATGTTTAATATAGGTTAGCCTCAGGAAGGATAGAGGTCCTTCAGGAAGGCAGTAAGAAGTACTATTTGAAAGGTGGATATCTCAGGAAACAGAATTTCATCCAGAATAACTAAAATGGAGTAGTTGAAGAAATGCTGCCAGATAAAAATAAAATAATGCAATGATGGAGAAAGATCTGGCCATTTTCAACTACTGTGCTGTAAGTTCTAAATTGCACCTTGTATTTAACACCCTGATTCTTGACCAGACAGGAGTCTGACATAAGTCAAGCCCCATTTTCTTGCGTGCTTATGGGTGGACTAAGGAGGGCTGTATTTTGCATGTACAGACACATATCTGTGCTTTTGTATGAACACATTGGGTTTATCCCACAAATGTTTTGGTGACATCCAGAAGTGA